TGTGTAAGACTGTTGAATCACAGACCTGTACCTCTGAAACAAATATTACATTACATGTTAAAAAAAAAAAAAAAAGAAGAATATAGCAGGAAGGGAAAAATGAATGGGGGGAAATCAGAGGGGGAGACGAAACATGAGAGACTATGGACTCTGAGAAACAAACTGAGGGTTCTAGAGGGGAGGGGGTTGGGGGGGATGGGTTAGCCTGGTGATGGGTATTAAAGAGGGTTCGTACTGAATGGAGCACTCGGTGTTATATGCAAACAACAAATCATGGAACACTACATCAAAAACTAATGATGTAATGTATGGTGATTAACATAATAAAATTTAAAAAAATAAATAAAACTTCAAAAAAAACTATAAAATTCTTAGAATAAAAAAGTGTTAATTTTTGTGGCCCTGGATTAGGCAACAGTTTCTTAGATGTAACATCTAAGGCATAAGCAACAAAAAAAAAAAAGGTAAACTGAACATAATAAAAATCTAAAAATTTAAAAACAGAACCCACAGAATGGGAGAAAAATATCTGCAAATCACGTATCTGATAAGGGTCTACTATCTAGAATATATAAAGAACTCTTACAACTCAACAATTAAAAGACAAACCAGTTTACAATGGGCTACAGATTTGAATAGACATTTCTCAAAAAAGATATACAAATGGCCAATAAGCACATGAAAAGACGCTCAACATTAGTCTTTAGGGAGATCCAAATCAAAATCACAAGGTACCACTTTTCACATCTACTAGGATGGCTATTATTAAAAATCAAAAAAACCAACAGTGTTGGTGAGGATGTAGAGAAACTGGAACCTATGTACATTGCTGGTGGGAAGGTAAAATGGTCTGGCACTGTGGGGCGCCTGGGTGGCTCAGTCATTAAGCATCTGCTTTCAGCTCAGGTCATGATCCCGGGGTCCTGGGATCAAGCCCCGCATCAGGCTCCTGCTCTGAGGGAAGCCTGCTTCTCCCTCCCCTAGTCCTCTTGCTTGTGTTCCCTCTCTCACTGTGTCTCTCTCTGTCAAATAAATAAAATCTTAAAAAAAAAAAAAAAAGGTTTGGTACTGTGGACAAGAGTCTGGTGGTTCCTCATAAAGTTAAACAAAATTACATATGACGCAGCAATTCCACTCCTACATACGTATCTCAAGTAAATACATATATAACACACACATTTATAGCAACACTAATCACAACAGCTGAAAGGTGCAAACAATGCAATGTCTATCAATAGATGAAAAGATGAACAAGACAAACTGTGGTGTGCGTGTATATATATATACATACCACATACAAAGACACATACACAGTGAATTCTTACTCATCTGTAAAAGGAGTAAAAGGGAATGAAGTTCTGCTATGTACAACAACATGGATGAACCTCAAAAATGTTATGCTAAGAAGCCAGACACAAAAGATCACATATTGTATGATTATATGAAATATCCAGAATAGGTAAATCTACACAGATGGAATGCAGATTAGTGGCTGTCAGAAGTCAGGGGAAGGAGGGAATAGGGAGTGATTGCTTAATGGGAACAGGGTTTCCCTTTGGGGTGATAAAAAGGTTTTGGAACTAGAAGAGTTAGTGGTTATACAACACTTGTAAATATACAAAATGCTACTGAATTGTTCAATTTAAAGTGTTTGATTTTCTATTATGTGAATTTCACCTTAATTGAAAAAACAAAATGAGATACTTCATACCCACTTGGATGAGTATATTAATTTTTTTAAAAAGCAGACAGTAACAGATGTAGGTGAAGATGTGGAGATATTTGAATCCTCATACACTGCTGGTGGGATTGCAAAATGGCACAGCTACTTTGTAAAAACACTTTGGTAGTTTCTCAAAATGAAAAAGAGTTATCCTATGACCCAGTTTTACTCCTACAGAATCAAAAACATATGCTCACATACAAAAAAAATGTATACAAATGTTCATAGCATTATTAAACAGCCAAAATAGTGGGAACAACCTGAATGTCTATCAACTGATGAATGGCTAAATGAAGTGTGGTACAGTCACACAATATAATATTATTCAACCATAAAAAGGAATGAGATACTGACATACATTACAGTATGGATAAACCTTGAAAACATTAACCTAGCAAAGAGGCCAGAGACAAAAGGCCACATACTGTTTTATTCTATTTATATGAAATGTGGGAATAGACACATCCATGGAGATAGAAAGTAGAACAGTGGTTGCCAGGGGCTGGGGGCAGAACAGAATGGGGAATGACTGTTAATGGGTATCAGGTTTCTTCTTGGTGATAAAAAGGTTCTAGAATTAGATAGTGGTGATGTTGGCACAGACTTGTGAATAAACTAAGAAACCATTAAATTGTATATTTTAAGAAGGTGAATTGACAGTATATTAATTATATCTCAATAATAAGAGGTACTAGATCAGACAATCCATCTAAAAATAAAATGAACCTTGCATGATATATGAAAATTAACTAAAAATGGATCATTGATCCATGTAAGACCTAAAACTATAAAAGTTCTAGAGAACTAAAAGGAAAATCTTTGTGATTTTAGGCTGGGCAAAAATTTCTCAGATATGACACAAAGGGTATGATCCAAAAGTTAAAAAACTGACAAGTTGGATTTCATCAAAATGTGAAACTTCTGCTCTTTGAAAGAGCATTAAAAACAAGGCATAAAATGGAAGAAAAAATATGTTAAGCACTTAGAAGATTTGCACATATACAAAAAGTATGAATTTTTTATGTAAGAATCAACACGAGACTATTTTAAAATCTCTGAAAAATCAATAATAAGAAAACTGAATTAAAATGGTTAAAATATTTGAAGAGATACTTAAACTTGTGGATAACCAATAAACAGATGAAAAGATGCTCAATATTATTAATCACTAGAGAAATGCAAATTATAGCCACAATGATATGCCAGTATACACCAGTTAGAATGGCTAAGACCAAAAGGACCTACAATACCAAGCACTGGTGAGAATGCAGAGAAAGTGGAGCTCTTTTATACTATTGATGGAAGGCAAGATTCTTTGGAAAACAGCTGCTGAATAGTTTACTATGTCAAATATTTATTTCCCATAGGATCTAGAATTCCAACTCCTGATAATTAGCCAAGAGAAATAAAAATACACGTTCATATGTGAATATTTATATAGGCTTTATTCATAATTGCCAAAATTTACCAACTCAAATGTCCTTCAAGTGGCAAATAGGTAAAGAAATTGTGATATATCCATATAATGGAACATAAACAACTGATACACACAACAAGAACTTGGATGAACTTCAAATGCCTTATGCTAAATAAAAGAAGCCAGACTTAAAATGTTGCATGTTGTATGATTCCATTTCTGGGATATTCTGGTAAAGACGTAACTATAGGAACAGAAGAACAGGTCAGTGGTTGCCAAGGGATGGAGGCAGAGGAAGAGGTTAATGATAAAGAGGCACAAGGGACCTTCCTGAGGTGAAAGAAGTGTTCTGTATTTTGATTGTGGTGGTGGTTACATAATTGTGTTGGTCAAAACTCACAGAACTGTACAGTAAAAAAAGGGTGTATTTCACTATGTATATTATAACTTAATAAGCCTGACTTCAGAAAAACATAGCTTTACAATGAATACACATTTGAAAAATATCAAATTAGACCTAAGAAAAAAATGGGACTCTGTATAAGCATTATCATTTGGCCTAATAGAACCTCTCTAATGAGCCAGTATCTTTCAGCCCCATCAACTTACACTTAGCCTACGTTCAGACAAATAAAATCAGACAAGCAAACTGTTTTAATCAGACATACAGCATTTGCCTTAGCCATGTAACATTCCCTACATTTTAAGCAAAAAGCATTCATGAATAGTATCCACCAATTTTCCAAATATTAAAAAGCATAGTGGAGGACAAACTGACACCAGTAAGTCCTTATGATAGGAAGTGAGCTTTTTAAAAAGATTCTTAGGTTGGACTATTTTTCAAATCACTAGGGTTTAGTCACTAAACCACAGATTGCCTGCCAGAGTGGTGAACTGTATTAGAGCTTGGGCTCAGAATTTATCTTTTCTTCTCTCTCCAATTCTTAAATTACAAGTTCACACATACATGGTAATATGGTGATGGTAATATGAATACTATTTAATTGGGCCAGAGGCCAAGAAGCAATCAAGGATTGATTGTTATATTGACATGTGTTGCAGAATTTACTGTCTGGGGTAGGCTAATTCTCCTTGACAGTCCAGATAATTCCAGATAACATAATCTTTACGCTCTTCAAAATTTGAAACACAAACAGCAATGTTTTAAAGACTGGCTTTCGTTTTATTTTAATAAGAATTGTATTTGTGAAGGGCGCTTGGGTGGCTCAGTTGGTTAAACGACTGCCTTCGGCTCAGGTCATGATCCTGGAGTCCCGGGATCAAGTCCCACATCGGGTTCCCTGCTCAGCGAGGAGCCTGCTTCTCCCTCTAACCCTCCCCCCTCTCATGTACTCTCTCTCTCTCTCTCTCTCTCTCTCAAATAAATAAATAAATCTTTAAATAAAAAAAAAGAATTGTATTTGTGTCTCTGGCCATTCTACCTTTTTAGAACCCAGAAAAGAGTATATTGCAGATGAAGTGACAGATGCTAACAGGTACTTAGGAAGTCTTTAAAACAAAACAAAACAGCATTGTCAGCAATGATCTCTTTGCCTCCCACAGGGCCATCAGCTCACTCTCAAGGGACTTCCTGGCTAAAATACTCAGTGAACACTAGGGCCAGAGCCAGTCATGACTCTGGCCCACACCAGATGCTCAACAAGAGAACGCTGCCCAGAAGCAGCCCCGTGCTGCCGTGACTGGAGTGCTCGGTGTTGCACCCACCTCAATGGCTCCTTTATCCTCCCACAGCCTGGTATTCGACAAAATAACCCATCTCCTCAGTAAGATAAGCTGATACCGGAGGCAGAAATACAGAAGGAAATACAGTGAAATATCAACAAAGAAAATGTGGAATACCTTGTTTTTAGCTAAATCCTTTTCCAAATTGCATTTTTCTTGCGCTATTTCTTTCTCTGTTTTATTAACCTGCCCAAGGAGGGGAAAAGAAATGGGTCCATTTTAAAGCAGCTGGCAGGCTCTACAGTAGCAGACACACCCTGCATGTTAGTTAATACCTACACTGCAGAGATAGCACATCCTCTCAGAAAAGGGGCCACTCAGGCAGTCTTTGAGGCAGAGCAGACTTCACAAATAGCCCTGAAATTAGAAAGACACGTCTGCATGTCAGACTGCTGCTTCCTTCCTAAAGAGGAAGACAGAGCTGTTCCCCCTTAACCTCCATTGTCCCATGCCTTCAGGGGAAATCAGCTTTTTATAATCTGACCCCTTAGCTATCATGAGGATGTGTGAGCTATTAGTTAATGCTATAGAAGGGTACCCTGTTTGGCACAGTCTACTTCACATGCTAAAAGACAGAGATTAGCCACCTAAAGATTTCTTTAATGGGAAACTCAGACAAACTGCATCTGGGCTGTATTTCTTATCTTTTGCACTTAAAATAGTTTTAAAGCAAGATCACCGCCACAACCAGGAGGTAACATAAATCTGCTTCTACCTACCTCTCCCTGAAATCTTTCTTTCTCCTCTAGCAGAGACTTCTTCTCTTGGATTGATGTTTCCAATTCACCTCGCAATCTTGCAATAGTTGTTTCTAGCAGCTCTTTCTGCAAGGCTGTCCTCTTCTCGGCATCCTGTGCTTTCTGGATACACTGATTATGCTCAAGGATTACACGGTCCCTGGAAGAAGACAAGGAGGAGATGTGAGCGTTAAACGAGAGTTCTTTAACTCTCTAACTAAAACATGAACTAAAGTTCATGTTCTCCAAGAACATATTGGCCAAGAGCAGTTACCAAAATGTTCTAACAAGACTAGTTCCTTGGGGGCAAAGTCTTTATCTTTGTGTCTGGCCCAAGAAAAGCAGAATTAAACGTTTCCATTAAAGATAAGAAATACAAATGCAAGAACAAAAGATACAGAAGTTGCCTATAATTTACTTACAGATGTGCTTGGAGTTGGATTTTCTCATTCTGAACAGTCTGTAGCTCAGTAGCGATACTGGCATGGGCTGCATCCAGGAGTAAGTTCTGTTCTTGAAATGTCTGTGTCATCATTTTCTGCTCTACCTGAGTTTTGGAAGTAATATTAAAAGCTGAGATGCCAGAAAGTCATTTAATAGGGTACCAATGAAAATAACTGATCAAATATACTGAATTAGCTAATGAAAGAAAAAATTTTATATAAATAAAACCTCTTTTTAAAGAATTTAATGTTCAGCTTTCTCTTTGTCCCCACTCTGACCTGACCACAATTCTATCATTTTACAGCTCTACCAGCCAACAGTGAAGATGCATTATTTACCCAGCCTGTTGCGAAATTTATAAAACTCTTAACATGAACATATTTTTAGATATAAAATTCTACTAGGAATATTTTGGTACTTTGAAATTTCAATATGATACATATTTTATTTTTAAAAAACATCAATACGTATAAAGTGAAAAGATCTCTTCACTTATACTCCCCCTCCTTAAAATAATCCCACTTTCCAGGGACAATCATGTTAATAATTTGGTATGAATTCTTTTGAAAATATTTGAAATTGCACTCAGATACTGTTACAGAAGAAGAACTATATGGCAATACCTAGGAGATATTGTGGGTTCACTTCCAGACCACCACAATAAAGTGAATAGTACAATAAAGCTAGTCTAATTTTTTGTTTCCCATTGCATATACAAGTCATAGTCTATTAGCTGTGTAGTAGCATTATGTCTTAAACAATGTACATAATTTAAAAATACTTTTTTCATAAAAATGCTAACCATCATCTGAACTCTCAGTGAGTCATAATCTTTTTGCTGGTGGAGGGTCTTGCCTTGGTGTTGATGGCTGCTGACTTATCAGGGTGGTGGCCGCTGAAGGTTAGGGTAGTTGTGGCAGTTTCTTAAAACAAGACAACAGTGAAGTTTGCCACATTGATTGACTCTCCCTTTCATGAGCGATTTCTCTATAGCATGTGATGCTGTTTGGAAAGCATTTTATCCACAGGAGAACTTCCTTCAAAATGGGAGTCAATCCTCTCAAACCCTGCTGCTGCTTTATTGACTAAGCTTATATAATATTCTAAATGCTCTGTTGTCATTTCAACAATCACAGCATCTTCACCTGGAGTAGGTTAAGAAACCACTTTCTTTGCTCATCATTCATTCAGGTTTTATCATGAGATTGTACCAATTCAGTCACATCTTCAAGCTCTTCTATTTCTAGTTCTCTTACTATTTCCACTATATCAGCAGGTACTTCCTCCACTGAAGTCTTGAAGCCCTCAAAGGCATCAGTGAGGGTTGAAATCCATTTCTTCAAAATTCCTGTGAGTGTTGATGTTTTGGCCTCTTATCATGAATCACGAATGTTCCTATTTATGGCAGCTATAGCTTTGTGAAATAGATTTCTTAAACAATAAGACTAGAAAATTGAAATTACTCCTTGGTTCATGGACTGAAGAATAGATGTTGCGTTAGCAGGCATGAAAACATTAATTTTGTCCATCTCTATCAGAACTCTTGGGTGACCAAGTACATTGTCAATGAGTAGTAATATTTTGAAACGAATCTTTTTTCTGAGGATTAGGTCTCAGCAGGGGGCTTAAAATTTTCAGTAAATCATGTTGTAACCAGATGTGCTGTCATCCAGGCTTTGTTGTTCCATTTATAGAGCATAGGCAGAGTAGATTTAGCACAATTCTTAAGGGTCTTAGGATTTTCGGAATGGTCAAGGAACACTGGCTTCGACTTAAAGTCACCAGCTGTGTTAGCCACAAACAAAGGGCCAGCTTCGCTCTTTCTCTTCAACGAGTTGGCCAAGCAGCAGATGCACAGATGCAGATTTTTGTGAAGACTCTGACCCCCACTCTGACCCTGCAGATTGTGCCCAGTGACACCATTTAGAATGTCAACGCCAAGAGGTGCCTTGGTGGCTCAGTTGGTTAAGTGTCTGGTTCCTGATTTCAACTCAAGTCATGATCTCAGGGTCGTGAGATTGAGGACCCGTGTCAGGGCTCTGCACTGAGTGTGGAGCCTGCTTAAGAATCTCTCTCTCTCTGGGATGCCTGGGTGGCTCAGTCGGTTAAGTATCTGCCTTTAGCTCAGGTCATGATCCTGGAGTCCCAGGATGACACCCCACTTCGGGCTCCCTGCTCAGCAGGGAGTCTGCTTCTCCCTCTTCTTCTGCCCCTCCCCTCGTTTCTGCTCTCTCTCACTCACTCACTCTCTAATAAAATCTTAAAAAAAAAAAAATTCTCTCTCCCTCTCTCCTTTCCCTGCTCTCTCTAAAAAAAAAAAAAAAAAAGTCAAAGCCAAAATCCAAGACAAGGAGGGCATCCCCCAATTGGCAGTATCTGATTTTTGCAGGCAAACAGCTAGAGGATGGCTGCACTCTCTGAGACTACAATATCCAGAAAGAGTTCACCCTGTAGTGGGTGCTTTGTCTGTGGGGCTGCATCATCACATCATCGAACCTTCCGTCCTCTAGCTCACCCTGTCACAACTGGGACATGATTACCTGCTCCAAATGTTATGCTTGCCTGCAGCCCCGCGCTGTCAGTTGCTGCAAGAAGCGCAGCCACACCAACAACCTGTGCCCCAACAGGATGGTCAACTAAGGCCCTTCCATCAGCTTTTCCTTCGCCCACAGGGCAGCCTCCTGCCCAAGCCCCATGGCCTGTAGCTTCAATAAAGTTTCCCTTACATTGAGTGGGAGGAAAAAAAACCAACAACAAAAAGCCTGTTTTGAAGCCAGGCATTGACTTCCTCTCTAGCGCTGAAAACCCTAAAGGCATCTTCCAATGGCATCTGTTGTTTAATGTAGCCACCTTCATTAATTATCTTCTAGATCTTCTGGAGAACTTGCTGCAGCTTCTACATCAGCACTTGCTTCACCTTGCACTTTTATGTTATGGAGACCGCTTCTGTCCTTAAACCTCATGAACTACCCTGCTAGCTTCCAACTCTTCCTCTGCAGCTTCCTCACCTCTCTCAGCCTTCATGGAATTGAAGAGAGTAAGGCTCTTGCTCTGAGTTAGGCTTTAGTCTAAGGGAATGTTGTAGATGGATTGATCTTCTATCCAGATCACTAAAACTTTCGCCATATCAGCAATAAGGCTGTTTCACTTTCTTATCATTCATGTGTTCACTGGAGTAGCATTTTTAATTTCCTTCAACAGCTTTTCCTTTGCCTTCACAACTTGGCTAAATGTTTGATGCAAGAGGCCTATCTTGGCTTTTGACATGCCTTCGTCACTAAGCTTAATCATTTCTAGTTTTTGATTTATAATAAGAGATGTGAAACACTTCATGTGAATACTTAGAGACCATTGTAGGGGTTATTAACTGGCCTAATTTCAATATTGTTGGGTCTCAGGAAATAGGAGGTCTAAGAAGAGGGAGAGGTATGGGGAAGAGCCAGTCAAAGCAGCCAGAACACACACATTTTTTAAGTTTACCATCTTAAATGGGCATGGTTTGTGGTGCCTCAAAACAATTACAATAATATATCAAAGATCACAGATCACCAGAAGAAAAATAATAATGAAAAAGTTTGAAATGCCATGAGAAGTGCCATAATGTGACAAAGAGGCACAAAATGAGCAAATGCTATTGACAAATGGCACCAACAGACCTACTAGATGCAGGATTGCCACAAACCTTCAAGTTGTAAAAAATGCAATTGTCTGCAAAGCACAATAAAACAACATATGCCTGTAATTGTTTTGCACAATTTATTTCCTCTGGCTCACCATTTTGGACTTCTCAAAACATAACATTTTTATTTTTTATTTTTTAAAGATTTTATTTGACAGAGACACAGCGAGAGAGGGAACACAAGCAGCAGGAGTGGGAGAGGGAGAAGCAGGCTTCCCACTGAGCGGGGAGCCTGATGTGGGGCTCGATCCCAGGACCCTGGGATCATGACCTGAGCTGAAGGCAGATGCTTAACGACGAGCCATCCAGGTGTCCCTCAAAACATAACATTTTTAGACACATCCCTTCTACCTACAACTTATAAACCTTTTGCAAGTATACAATTAACAATTACTTCTGTAAACATATTTTAAAACACTTTTATCTTAATACTTGATTGCAAAGCAAACCTTCACACCTTTGGAAAATAAAATCCCATTTGTGTAACATTCCAAAGTTAAAAAATGTTTGTGAAAGTGTGAAGACATGTCACATTATTCTATTAAACTGTTAAGTCCATGAAAGTAGAGATTTTGTCTTGTTCACCACTATAATCCCATCTAGACCTAGCATCATACCTGCACAGAGTAAACACTAAGTGCTTGTTGAATTAATGAAAAATATTTATTATCTGTTATATGCAGTGATAAGCACTATGGGAAATAGCAAAGATGTATAAGATGATGCCTCCAGTTCTAGGAAGCTCACAATGTTATCCAGGAAATGAGCCATGCATATAAACTGCTACGGAATGCAAAATAGAGAGGCAGCATAATGTAACAATTAAAAGCATTGACTCTGCAGTCAGACCTTGGTTTCAATCCAGCTCTACCCCTTACTAGGTATGTGACTTCAGGCAAGTTGATATACTTCTCTAAACCTCATTTTCCTTATTTATAAGATGAGGATAATAAATATTCCTTTACATACTGGCTGCAAGAATTAAAGGAGGTAATATATGTAAAATCATTAGTATAATGCATGGTATATACTAAGTATGCTCCCAAAAAAATGACAGCTATTATTATGAGAGTCTGTTTAATGTCCTAGGAGTCGGAGTTAACAGAGAAAACTCATTCCCTCTTGTTTGAGTGAGCAAGCTTCCTGATTTGAGTCTTAAAGAAAAAACAGAATTTCAAATAGCTGAAGATGAAATAAAGACCATTCTCAGTAGAGGGAATGGCATAAGCAAAATGGGAAACCACAGGTGTTTGAGGAAATGGTATTTGGGACAGGTAATTACTTTTCTTAAAGTAATGGTATTTGAGAAGAAACCATTAGGACTGAGTATAAGGCTAAATGACCCCCTGATGAAAACTGAAAACCACTAATCAAAAAATAAAATAATTCAGTAAATTTCTTGGAACTGTTAAAGTATTTTATTTAGCCACTTGGTCATACACATTTCCTAGTTTCTTAGCCAAGGAGTTTTCTTGTGATTCTATCAGAAACTGACTAGTATTAAATGAATACCTGCAGAATGGCTTGGTGGTCAGCAATAATTCTGGCATTTTCCATACTAACAGTCTCAAGCATGCTGTTCAGCTCTGAACACTTTCTAGTCAGCTGGTCATTCGAAACCTAAGACGATATGTACAGCAAGTCATAGATCTCTCCAGTAAATAATTATTTTTACTTAACATATTTTTAATGATGGTATAGTATTTCATTCTGTATGTGAATCTAATTTATTTAACTTATCTCCAATTGATATTTCATTAGGTAATACTTTCAAATATTTGGAGTCAATACCCCACATAATTCTAAATCAAAACGTTCATCTGGTAGAGCAACTGAAGCATTCAACGGTTTACTGATCTCCTGTTCACAATTTTGAACACTGGTGAGACAGAGCAAGATATCTACAGAATGGACTTTACAATGTAGATGCCTAGCCAAGATTACAGAAATTCATTCCCAAAATTAGATGAGCATTCAGAATTGTTTAGCTAATAATACAAACTGTCTAAGCTCTTTCACCACCAATTACAGTATCCATAAGAGCAAAATATAGATAATTGTACCTTTTCACAAGACAGATCATCCAAAATTAAAAATCTTTTGTGCAACAAATTTATCAGATAATTCTGTTGTCTTTTTGATATTTGAAATTTTTATTCCTGAAGAAAACATTCATTCATCAGTTGTTTTAGCAAAGTGTATTTGCCAAGGATTTTTTTTTTTTTAAGTTTAAGCCCAATAGAGGGCTTGAACTCATGACCCTGAGATCAAGACCTGAGCTAAGATCAAGAGTCAGATGCTCAACAGAATGAGCCACCCAGGCACCCCAAGGACCTTATCTTTTGTTATTATTTTTTAAAAGATTTTATTTATTTATTTGACAGAGAGAGATAGCGAGAGAGAGAGAGCACAAGCAGTGGAGTGGGAGAGGGAGAAACAGGCTCCCCACTGAGCAGGGAGCCCGATGGCAGGGCTCGATCCCAGGACCCTGGGATCATGACCCAAGCCAAAGGCAGACGCTTAATGACTGAGCCACCCAGGTGCCCCAGATCTTATCTTTTAATGAACAAGTTCTTCAAGGATGGGGACAAATAACTCTATAGGATCAATTTAAAAAAACACTCAAAAAATGGTAACAAGAAAGTAAAGAAATGAAAAACTATCTGGGAAGCATAAGTGGTAGTATAGTAAAGAAGTAAGGAACACGTTCAGGGCATTTTAAAATTATAACCAGATGTACAAACTATTCACCAAGGAATACCTAGAGGTAAGACAGAGATGAACTCCTGATCCTTGAAAAGAATAATTTTCTTTGGAGCCAGAAGGCCTAAGCTCAAATTCTAACTCTGCCATTTATTACCTATGTTATTGAACTTCTTTGTATATCAACTTCCTTATCATTAAAATGAGAATAATAAGGGCGCCTGGGTGGCTCAGTTGGTTAAGCGACTGCCTTCGGCTCAGGTCATGATCCTGGAGTCCCAGGATCGAGTCCCGCATCAGGCTCCCTGCTCAGCGGGGAGTCTGCTTCTCCCTCTGACCCTCTTCCCTCTTGTGCTCTCTATCTCTCATTCTCTCTCTCTCAAATAAATAAATAAAATCTTTAAAAAAAAAATAAAATAAAATGAGAATAATAAGTTTCTATAGTACTGCTATTACAAGCATTACAATTTGTTAGTAACATAAGGTGCTTATAATTATGCCTGGAACATAGAATGGGTTTGGTAAATGTTAATTACTACTACCAGAGCAAGAGTAGTTATTTTCATTATTTTATAAAATAACACATTTATTTTCTATTTTATCATAAAGAGAGTATAGCAACATTATGATCCCAACACTGAAGTAATCAAATTGTACTAACAAAAAGTTTTTTAAGTGATTAATACCATTTCACTGACCCTATGAGAATTAACTTCTTTGCCTGCATGTGCGCGCGCGCGCGCGCGCGCACACACACACACACACACACACACACACACATCAGCTAAATTTGGCAACCACCATCCCACAGAAAACAGTTACACATAACTCTAAAATCCGGCAAGCATTTATTATGTTCCTACTGTGCTGTTTGTTATAAAAGATACAAAGAAAGTGTAAGCATAGCCAGTGGCACTGAACTGCTTAGTTCATAGGTGTAGATGAAAGTTATATATTTAATGAGTAAATTATAAAGCAAACAAAGACAAAATGTAAATTAGTGCATGATTTAGCAGTGTATCTCATATACTTATGTGTCATAGGAGATTTGGTGAAATGGGAAGTGTAGTTTATGTGATAATGGTTCATAGATGAAATAGATTTTAAGAAAAAAATGTGGATGATGGCAATGGTATGAATTTATACAATTAGAATCAATCTTTGTTCTTGGTTTTTTAATTGAACAAAATTATGCAACATGTAAACACAAAAATGGAAAGATTTACCTGTGCTTTTGTGATGGGGAAAGGACAATTTCTTCAATAAATGGTGTTGGAAAAACTGGACAGGCACATGCAAAAGAATGAAACTAGACCACAACCTTGTACCATACATAAAAATTAATTCAAAATGGATCAAAGACTTGAACATAAGACCCGAAAGCGTAAAATTTCTAGAAGAAAACATAGGTAATTTTCTTGGTCTCATACCAAAAGCAAAAATAAACAAGTGGAACTATATCAAACTAAAAATGCTGTGCTTCTGCACAGCAAAGGAAACCATCAACAAAATGAGAAGGCAACCTACTGAATGGGAGAAAATATTGGCAATCATACATCAATATCATATATATAATAAGGGATTAATATCCAAAATATATAAAGAACTTATAAAACTCAGTAGCTTAAAAAAACCTGATTAAAAAATGGGCCAAAGATCTGAACAGACATTTTTCAAAGAAGACATACAGATGGCCAACAGGTACATGAAAAGATGTTCAACATCACTAATGATCAGGGAAATGCAAATCAAAACCACAATGAGATATCACCTCACAAGAGAATGAGGTATCACCTCACATGAGAATGGTTATTACCAAAAAGACAAGAAATAACAAGTACTGGAGAGAATGTGGAGAAAAAGGAATCCTTGGGCACTGTGGAAGGGAATGTAAATTGATACAGCCACCGTGGAAAACAGTACAGAGGTTTCTCGAAAACTTAAAACTAGAACCACCATATGACCCAGCAATTCCACTTCAGGGTATTTATCTGAAGAAAACAAAAATACTAACTCAAAAAGATATCAGCAACCCTACATTAACTGCAGCATTATTTACAATAGACAAGATATGGAAATAACCTAAGTGTCCATTGATAGATGAATGGATAAAGAAAATGTGGTATGTGTGTATATAGATAGGTACAGATATTATTCAGCCACAAAAAAGAATTTACTCTTGCCATTTGCAACAACACGGATGGACCTTGAATGTATACTAAATGAAATATGTCAACCAGAGGAAGAAAATACCATATAATCTCACTTATATGTGGAATCTTTAAAAAAAATGAAAAACAAAATACCAAGTTCACACAGGTGGGTGCCAGAGGAAGGAGGTATAAGGGATGGGAGAAAGTGGTAAGAGGGGTCAAAAGGTATAAACTTCTCATTAGAAAATAATTGAGTCATGGGGATATACTGTGCAGCATGATGACTATAGTTAATAACATTGTATTGCATATTTGAAAGTTGTTAAGAGAGTGAATCTAAAAAGTACTCGTCACAAGAAAAAAAATTTTTAACTATATATAGTGATGGACGTTAACTAGAATTATTGTGATTATTTTGCAATGTATACAAATGTTGAATCATTATGTCGTACACCTGAAATATAATGTTATATGCCAATTATACCTATCATGATAGTATGAATTAATATAATCAGGATTAATTTGTTCTTGGTTCCTTAATTAAACAAAATAAAGTAACATCTAAAAACGATAGAAATGATAAGATCTTACCTGTGCTTTTTCTGATGTTTCATGAAGGGATACTATTTCAGACCTCAAATAGGCATTTTCTTCGTGTTCCTTGTTGAAAGACCTCTGTACATTCTATAAGAGCAAAAACATAAGTTCTCTCCTTTCTTACATGTAAGAGCTATTATGAATATCTCTATCAAAATACCTGTTCTGTATTTTGGCTACTAGGAGTTCAAGTTTTTTTTTTTCTTTTTTTTGTCTTATGTTCAATTAGCCAACATATAGTACATAATTAGATTTTGATGTTGTGTTCAAAGATTCATTAGTTGTGTATAACACCCAGTGCTCTAGTACTAATGATATATATAGTGTCTTGTAAAGAATTTTTAAAAATCTTGGTATCTTCAACTCTCAAACTTCTCTTTTTAAATAAATTATAAAAACTGTTTCAAACTGGAAAGAATTTGCCTAAAACCATAATGTAAATATTTAACTAGCATCCTCAAGTCAAGAAAGTTCTGCTAAGATGAATAGTTGTCAGTTTATATTATATACACATTATTTTCCCTAAGCAGTTAAGATTTTTTGTGATTTCAAAGAAACACATTCAAAGATCTTTTAAAGCCCTAAGTACGTGAAGATGTTTTCATCAAGGAATACCTGGGTGTGAAGCAAAAGAAAACACCTTTGCTCTAAAAACAAACAAACAAACAGGTGACAGGGATGTGAGTTGTGGGTTAGGTTTTCCCTAACAGGTAGTTACTGAAATGGGGAAGGGCAAAGTGCAAGTCCTCTCCCTATGGAGAGAGGACTTTTATTTTTCCAGGAGAAGCATCTCAAGGCTTAAAGTAAACATCACCTACTACAGGATTAGAAAGAACCCAGAAAAATTATTCCAAAAAGGATCTACACATTAAGGTTGATTTAGAAATGTATTAAGATATAAATGTGGTAATAGTTCTTTTTTTCATTTTTTATTGTGGTAAAATATAAACATAAAATTTCCCATTTTAATCATTTCTATGCGTACAGTTCACTTAAGAATATTTAAGTGTTAAGTTCAGTGGCACTAAGTATATTCACATTGTTGTGCAACCATCACTACCAAAAAGTAGTTATTTCTTATATTTCATAAAAACTTTTTTATAACAATTATTTTGCAATAAGGATAAAATGCAAATTAGTCTCATAATTTTTGCTAATTCATCTTTTTTTCAAACCACAATAACCTGCCTGAAATGATTTCCTAATACCCAGTTGACAACAGGTCTGAATATGCAACTCATTTACACTGCAACTTTTTCCTAATAAAGGCTCCAGGAGAATAAGAACAATTGTAAACCAACACGAGTGAGGAAATATTACTTAGTGAGAGAGGAAAGAACATCTCTGAACTCTACAGCCTCAAAACTTACCTTATTTTCTTCAACCAACTTGGAAATGAGTTCATCTCTAGAAACTAAAAACAAAGAGTCCACATAACTATGGTAATAATAACTTACTACAGCGACATTGAAATCACACAGTATCTTCTCCCGGAGTAGCTTGTTTTCTTTTTTTCCCCAGTCTGTATGTTGTGTAAATAAGGAGAATGCAAGTATTTCTACCATATTTTTATAGACTGGAAATTAAGTTATGAAATTATCAAGAAAATAGTCCACAGTTACGTGCAATTGTCAATGAGACATATTTTACTCCAGGCATAGAGGCTGATGCATCTGAGGGATTTTAAAGTGGAGAGGCACCTGATCAAAAGCTTTTTGTTAGAATAACAGAGGCTCAGTAAGGAAGGGGATATCAGTTTAGTAGCTGTGCAGTAACCAAAGTATAAACCAATGAAAGCTGGCTCTAAGGGAAGGACACTGAAGATGCAAAGGGAAAACACACTCCAGAAATAACAAGAAGGGAGAACTGTCAGGACTTGGTGGCTGGCTGCTGGGTTAAAGGCAATAGATGAGTCAAGGAGAATATCTAGGGTCCAGATTTAAGCAATGGAGTGGGTGGCAGACTCTTCAACTAAATAGGGAACACAGGACGGGGAGCAGGTTTGGGGGATAGAATGAGTAAGAATGATTGCAATATTTAAGTATTCACCGTGTGTTTTGAGGTATCTGTAAGGCATCCATATATAGATGTTTAGTTGGCAGTAAGATACCATCTGGAGCTCAGAAAGATGATTTTATGTGGAAAAAAAAAAAAAGATTTGAAACCACCCAGAGAGTATATACAGTGAAAATAAAACCAAAGATAGAAACAGGGAACAGTTTGGCATTGTATACCAATAGCCTAAAGTAAACTTTTCTGAGAGTAACGTTTTGGCTTCATGAAAAATGCATAAAGATTTATTAGTTTTGTTTCACTTAAACATTCTAAAGCCAGAAAATTACAAAACACATAAAAACTCACACTTTATGTAGGATATAGTCAGAGAAACTATACTTTTTGAGTATATTAAGTCCAAGACTCATTTCAAATAGAATAAACGCTAATTTAAAATATGTGAAGGATAAAAGATAATTATGTGATCTATTCTAAAAATTCCAGTAATCAAAGTAAGAATGAAAGGAGAGTGTTCATCTTACTTGGGAGAACAATTTCATCACTTTAGTGTGTGTGTACAAAAGTTTATTGCTAATAATTACATTTTTAAATTCATTAAAGCAAATATCTAGAGGCATTCCTTTTATTAATCTAGTTAGCCTAACTGTTGTACCTTAAAGTAATCAAACTGCATGCATGTAAAGAGTCTGTTACTCAATATGAAGCATATAGTTGGTATTCAGACAGGCTTCCTTTTCCTTATGTTAATTTTAATAAATGTGTAATTTTCATCTTTTAAATAGTCTTCCATATATTCTTTACAAAATTCAAAACTAAAACATTAATCCAATCAGAAAGTGACATTGAAAAAAATTACTACTATAGTAAAAAGATCTGTGTTTTAGTCCCAGCTATCCTATTTGCCGTAGGTCCTTGGATACAGACCTTTTTATTCTTCTATAGAATGGGGTATATTTTCTTATCTTGCTCACAAGATTATAAGGTCAAATGAGATAATGTGGCAGCACCATAAAATATAACGTGTATTTTTTGTAGCCACATAATCACAGGAAGATGGAAAATTATCTTGAGGCATTATCAGTGAGAACGCCACAGATAATTCACTACTCAACAACTAGAAGGAAAAACTACTTTCTGTTAAAAGCAGAACAAAACACTGACAGATTACTCTTTGCTCCATGCTTTTTATAATTTTCATTTCCCTTTTGGTATTCCCTGCTCTCACTACAGCCAGAGAGCATAGAAGGCACACTGGCAGGAACACCAGAGGTAGAAGATACAGGCTCAGGCATCGCTTTAACTTTGGGAAGTATGGATAGTTTAGCGTGTTACATGCGATCGTTTATGTGAAAGCTCTATGTAAACCATAAAGTGTTACTCATGTGAAGCACTGCACTGTGATCCCTATATTTGATACTGGCTGAAACTGCTTTCCACTTATATATTAACAACAGTAAATACGACAAGGGCTGATGGGTTGGAAGAATCATGACTGAACAACATGGGATCATGACTAGACTCATCCATTTCCTAGCTCAATCACCTGTAAGGACTCTGTATACTCATCTGTAAAATGAGGACATTAAACTCTAAGATAACTTACAACCACCCATTGCTACAAATACAGGTCAATAGAATGGTAACCTGAAAAATGGGAGTCTGACATGATCAACGGTTAGAATCAGGTTAGCAACTATTAAAGGACTTATTTCCTTATTAATATTCTATTATCCAATATTCAATCTAGATTTCTAGAAACCCAATGTTCCCAAGTCCATGAACACTTAAATAAACCTGAGAAAAAATTTAAATACAGAATAGTTTACAGTTAAGAGGATCAAATTCTATTTTATTACTTTTTTTTTTCAGTGCCACAGACAAAAAGGCAATCAACAATTTTTTACATTTGGTCCTGTGGTAAATCTCAGTAACAATGACCTCTTCAAGAACTTCGGATCTTAAGAGTTTTTGCATGAAATCTCAAAAAAACTAACAGAAATGTAATTTCTAGCATCTATTTTCATACTTAGATCAGACTTGAGCTGTGAGATAGAAGTCTCCAAATCTCCTTTTTTCTGTTGCTCCTGTGCCAGTAGTTCTTGGGTGGTCTGCATAGACCTGCGTAGGGCAATGCAGTTTTGCTGCAAGATCTGCACCTGAAATGTGTAAGAAAAATTCCTTTCTGTAAGGTAAAGATTTCTACCAAACTACCTCAGAGCACAAGTGTAAGGCAGATTTTCTGATCTTAACAACACTGAAGGGAGAAGGGGAGTTTCTATGTTAAAGATTTCAGCAGGGTGCAGTGTTTTACAGTAGGGCTGTCCGACAGACCTTTCTATACACTCTCCAACACAACATGCACCAGGCACAAGTAACTGCTGAGCACTTGAAGTGTGTCGAGAGTGGGTGAGAAATTGAATTTTTAATTTTATTTAACTAATTTAAATTTAAATAGCTATATGTGGCTAGTAGCCACTATATTGGTAGTGCAAGTTATAGCAATAAAGGATCATTTACAAATTCCTCAAGTAGGGGCATCTGGGTGGCTCAGTAGGTTAAATGGCTGCCTTTGGCTCAGGTCATGATCCCAGAGTCCTGGGATCGAGCCCTGCATCGGGCTCCCTGCTCAGTGGGGAGCCTGCTTCTCCTTCTCCCTCTGCTGCTCCCCCTGCTTGTGCTAATAAATAAAATCTTAAAAAAAAAAAAAAAGAATGGAAAGAGGTTAAAAAACAGCAGTTGTATAAATTTAAAAAAAATTTTTATAATAAAAAAGTGGGGGGGGGGACACCTGGGTGGCTCAGGTGCTTAAGCAGCTGCTTTTAGCTCAGGTCATGGTCCCAGGGTCCTGGGATTGAGCCCCACATCGGGCTCCCCACTTGGTGGGAAACCTGCTTCTCCCTCGCCCTCTGCCTGCCGCTCCCCCTGCTTGTGCTCTCTGTCAAATAAATAAATAAAGTCTTAAAAAAAAAAGTCCTTAAGTAAAATCTTTTTTATAATTTTATTATGAAGGACAGCCATTGGTTAAAATAAAGATTATGTAATCCAAATACAGGTATTAGAATTTGGAACTACTAATTGCCTTGAATACTTAGAACTGAATAGTCTAAGTTACATGTAGGTATTTCAAATAATACTACAGGCAAAAATTTAATAAATCTAGAGAAAATTAGCAAAACTAAAGACTTATAGGTAAAATATCAGCTTTCTTTTTGGTTTCACTTCCTTGACATAAGGAAAGAAAAATCTACCTGTTTCCGTTCCACCTCCACTGTTGATTCCATTTCTTGTATTTTGAACAGCATGGCTGATGCAGATTTCTCAAGAGATTCCTTCAGGTGCTTCTCCTGAGACAGTTGTCTCCTTAGCTACAGAACAAATTGCAGTTAGGCAAGACCAAGGGAACATCACAGCAGTTTGCCAAAGATCAAACTCACCGTGAAAACTTTACCAGACATGCCATCTCACTCCCAAACGTTCTTCATTCATTAATGACTACTCAGAAACAAGCTTGTGTTTCTCCCTAAGGGATAAACTACTAAGAAACGAAGAGTCAAATCTGTTGCCCTTGTCTTCCCATTGTGTAATTCTTTTTTTCCAAATTGTGGGTCAAGATGTGTTAGTAAGTTGCAAGCAGCACTTTCAAAAGGGGAAAAAAAATATCAGAGCACAGAGCATGTAATAAAGAAGGGTAAATAAGGCTTCATGAAATGTTTGGGTATATTATTTATGTATGGTGTTACAGTATAAAATGTATGTCTCAATAGACTTGTCAAAAAGAAGGTTGAAAAACACTAATATCACACCTTAGTATATACTTTCTGAATTTTCTGACTTTTACTTTTAACTCTTTTTCCATATTTGATTACTTCATCTCCCTATTTTTTTTTAAATATTTTTTATCCCATAGGATTATAAACATACCCTTGAAAGCTGTTCCAATTCTGTTTTGGAATTTAAAGGTCTAAAGAAATAATGAAGCAACTGTTTAGTAGTCAATAAAACTACCACTCAAGAATTGGGGTACACTAACCTTGTTTCTCTCAATAAATGATGATGAGTTAGATAAAGATATAAAAAAGAATCTCTTTTCTCATGCGGTAAAGAGATCCTTTCAAACTTACATGAGAATTGCAGAATGCTATTCCTTTTATGAAGTGATGTTAAGTTAAAAGAAATTCTGCTTTTTAAGCCCCAGTGAAGATGACCTAAGAGTACACTTTATAGCTCTTTTCCTAAATTGTACATATATGTTTTACATGTGTCTTCTCTGGATGATTTATTTTATGTTTAAATACTTTTTAAAACATTGAAAGACATGAAAAGTGTGTTGGCATGAAACTGTTACATGACAGCCCATTTTGCAAATGTTCTATAGTATTCTTAATCATACCCCTAATAACAAACATTTAGGTTTTTCCAATTTTTCACTATTCTAAATATTGTTCTGCTGAACATGCCTGTGAATAAATCTTTCTTTGCATTTCTATTTCCTTAGGATAGATTCCTACAAGAGGAATCATTAGGTTAAAGGTTTAATAATGTTTAGACTTTTGATAAATTTGTTATATAATTTTCCTTCCAATTTTAGCCTATCAGTAGTATTAGAATAAATCCCATCAGTACTATGTATTGTTGTTTTCTTAAATCTTTGCTAATCTAATAAATTAAAAATAACATCTTGACAGCTTTTCATTTCTTTGGTTACTAGTGAGATTCAACATTTTCTCATATGGTTATTAGCTCTGTATATTTTCTGAGCTATTATATATTTTTTGAAATGTTAGTTGACCACTGTTTTTTGGGGGGGGTTGTTTTTTGTTTTTACTCAATTTTAAGTTCTTTAAAAGGAAAGATTGTTAACTCTATCTAGTTTTGCTAGGTTTTACTAGTTTTGCTTTTTGCCCCCCCTTTCTTTACATGTAGGATTTTTAATTCTTATGTGTTCAAATCTACTGAACTTTTTATAATTCTATTCCTTCATTTCAAGTTTAGAAATTCCTTCCTCATTCTTCCTCATCATTTTAAGTATTACAATCTTATTTAAGGATGAACCACAGTTTCTACTTTTGGCTAATACTAACTACAGTATCAGATTATAATTATTTTTTTTTAAAGATTTTATTTGACAGAGAGAAACACAGTGAGAGAGGGAACACAAGCAGGAGGAGTGAGAGAGGGAGAAGCAGGCTTCCCGCGGAGCAGGGAGCCTGATTCGGTCCTCGAGGACCGAATGACCTGAGCTGAAGGCAGATGCTTTACGACTGAGCCACCCAGGCACCCCATCAGATTATAATTACTTTGTAATACAGAGTAGCTTACTATATTTTTCTAAGCTCTGGATCAAATTATATAGTATAATGTACTCGAGATACTATTTAAGTCCTTTATAGAGGAATCTTTATTTGATAATTATACTACTGAGGTATTAATTCTGAAGTATTATTAAAAGCAACCAGTTTATGTTTTATGTTTATCAGAACCAGATTCTACATATATTTCTTACCTCTTAGGAAGATGTATACCACATTTATTCTGTTTTTATACAGCCCCCTGATATGGGCTGAATTGTATTCCCCAAAAATATTACGCTGAAGCTCTAACCCCAGTATCTCAAAATATGACTGTATTTGGAGATAGGGCCTTTAAAGAGGTGATAAACGGTAAGGATGCTGTTAGGGTGGGTCCTAACCCAACCCGAATGGTGTCCTTATAAGAGAAGGAAACAGGGATACACGAAGATACCAGGGATGTGCAACACACAAAGCAAAGACCATGTGAGGACCATGTGAAAGCAGCCATCTACAAGTCAAGTAGAGAAGCCTCAGGAGAAAAAAATCTGCTGACATCTTGATCTTGGACTTCAAATCACCAGAAATATAAGAAATTTATGTTATTTAAGCCACCCAGTCTGTGGTACTTTGTTACTGCAGCCCTAGCAAACTAATACATCCTTCCTGCTTGAATACCAAAATGCATTTTGACAAGGACAGTCCTTCTAAGGATCCTTGACAGGGTTCAATAAAAAATTCAAGATTTTATCACAGCACTCAGAATTAAGACTTTCCTAATAAAGAGTAATGATAAATGGTAATCACTGATAGTCTTTTAAACAAATGGTGCTGAAACAACTGGACACACACACACACACAAACACACACACACAAAGAATCTAGATACAGACCTCACATCATTAATTTGAAATGTATCACTTAAATTTAAAATGCAAAACTATAAGGCTTCTAAAAATAACACAGGAGAAAAATCTTGGTGATGTTGGGTTTGGTGATGACTTATAACACCAAAAGTACAATTCCTGAAAGAAAAAATTAGTAAGTTGGACTTCATTAAAATTAAAAGCTTCTGCTCTGCAAACGATAAGCTACAGAATGGAGAAAGAAATTGCAAAACACATATTTGATTAAGGACTAGTATCCAAAAATATACAAAGAACTCTTACAACTCAACATAAGAAAACAAACAATCCAATTACAAAATAAGCATAAGATCTAACAGACACCTCACCAAATGAGATATAGAGATGGTAAATAAGCATATAAAAAGATATTCAATATCATGTCATTAGGGAATTATAATTAAAACAAGATACCACTACACACATATTAGAATGGCAAAAATTCAAAACAATGACAAGACACCATGGTGATGAGAATGTGGAGCAACAGGAACTCATTCATTGTTGGTATGAATGCAAAATGGTACAGCCATTTTTTAAGACAGGTTGGCAGTTTCTTACAAAGGTAAACAAAAGCTTACCAGATGATCCAGCAATTGTGCTCTAGGTATTTATCCAAATGAGTAGATAACATGTCCACACAAAAACCTGCATATGAATGTTTATAGCAGCTTTATTCACAATTGCCAAAACTCAGAAGCAACCAAGATGTTCTTCAGTAGATGAATGGATAAACAAACTGTGGTACATCCATACAACTGGAATATTGTTTAGCAATAAAATGAGTTACCACACCATGACAAGGCTTGGAGGTATGTTAAATGCATATGCTAAGTGAAAGAAGCCAGTCCAAAACAACCACACACTGAATCATTCCAACTATAACAAAACTACAGAGTGAAAAGATCAGTGGTTGCCAGGGGCTCAGGAAGGGAGGGGGGATGGGTATATGGAGCACAGAGCATTTTTAGGGCAGTGACACTATTCTGTAAGATAATGTAATGAACAAAGGGTGAATCTTAATATAAACTGTGGACTTTAGCTAATAATGATTTATCAATTTATTTATGAACAATACTAGTTCATCAAATTTAACAAATGTACCACACTAATATAATAGGGGAAACTGGAGGGATGGGGAGAGCAGGTTTAGGAGAACTGTTTTCTGTGCAATTTTTCTATAAATGCAAAACTTCTCTAAAAAAAAAAAATAGTCTACTAAAAAAATACATGAAATGTAATACATTCTAACTATGAAAAATCATGCTTTTATCAGTAGCTACTGGCAAATAAGTACATGAGAGAATTTTCCAGATAGCTATACTTAACACCTTAAGCACTAAAAATCGTAACTTAAAGAAGTAATTTTGCATGAGAATTTTCTTTAAAAGTATATCTATTTCTTGGTATTTTAAATATAATTTGGATCCTTTTGATTTGGATAAACATCAATGATTATTCTGTCAGGGAATATTGAGGTTTTTAGGTCAGAGTGTGTTGGATTACTAATTCTCCTGACTCTTACACTGTTTTCAGCTGCCAATTTTTAGTCCAGCAACTTTTAGTAGCCACCTACTTCACAAATCCCAATCTGTTATCTACTAAAACTTAGGCTGAAACTTAAACACAACTTTAGTTTAAAAGGTCTTTGGATGAATGTGTTCACTTAGCTCTAGCATATGAATTTCGTGGTACCTATTTTCCTTCTTGGCTCACAAAGCACTTAGTTTATTTCTGGTTGTAGGGCCATACTGAGGCAAAAGGAACTCTTAATGTCAAATAAGGGTAGCCACTTCCACTTGAATTTCACATGGCATATTTTTAAAATCTTCCTACTCCACAGTAACATATTTTTTCTTGAAAGTTTTTCACTCTTTCTACTTTCTTGACTTCCCCTCAGCAATTCCAATGCCCCCTCCAGAACCTCTTTTTATCTTACCTCCTGAATTTTCAGGTTCATTTTACGTTTTGTGGTCTTCAATTCCTCTTCAATAATGGCTGCATTATTCTAAAAGTACAAGGGGAAAAGGTTCTAAATAATCTGAAATGAAGGAAGAAACTGTCTATAGGCACATCAGTCCAAATCTAGACTTTTTTCTAGCAATCTATATATGCTATTATGAATATGGTTATAAATACTTCTTATTGTGTCTAAAATAATTATTACAATGAGATATTTAAAAAGAAAGTTATTTTACCACTTTGATTCATGACTTCTATTATTTTCCATTTTTCTTTTTTTAAAGATTTATTTTAAGGAACTATTGTGACTTCGTCAAGACAAAAAGCTTTTGCACAGCAAAAACAGTCAACAAAACCAAAAGGCAACCGACAGAATGGGAGAAGATATCTGCCAAACACACAAAAATCAAATAATCCAGTCAAGAAATGGGCAGAAGACACGAACAGACATTTTTCCAAAGACATACAAATGGCCCACAGACACATGAAAAGATGCTCAACATCACCCAGCATCAGGGAAATACCAATCAAAACCATAATGAGATATCACCTCACACCAGTCAGAATGGCTAAAATTAACAAGTCAGGAAACAACAAATATTGGCAAGGATGTGGAGAACCTTGCCAGATGGGAACCCTCTTACACTGTTGGTGGGAATGCAAACTGCTGCAGCCACTGTGGAAAACAGTATGGAGGTTCCTCATAATGTTAACACCAGAGCTACCCTACGACCCAGCAATTGCACTACTAGGTATTTATGCCAAAAGATACAAATGTAGTGATCCAAAGGGGTACCTGCACTCCAATGTTTATAGCAACAATGTCCACAATACCCAAACTATGGAAAGAGCCCAGATGTCCATCAACAGATGAATGGATAAAGATGTGCTATAGGGGCGCCTGTGTGGCTCAGTCGTTAAGTGTCTGCCTTCAGCTCAGGTCATGATCCTAGCGTCCTGAGATTGAGCCCTGGGTCGGGCTCCCTGCTCTGCGGGAAACCTGCTTCTCCCTCTCCCATTCCCCCTGCTGTGTTCTCTCTCTCTTTTGCCGTGTCTGTCAAATAAATAAAATCTTAAAAAAGAAAATGTGCTACACACACACACACACACACACACACACACACATACACACACACACAATGGAATATTACACAGCCTTCAAAAAAGTGAAGTCTTGCCATATGCAACGAAGAGGATGGAACTAGAGGGTATTATGCTAAGCGAAATAAGTCAGAGAAAGACAATCATATGATCTCACTCATATGCGTAATTTAAGAAACAAAACAGATGAACATAAGGGAAGGGAGGGAAAAATAAAGTAAGATGAAATCAGAGAGGGAGACAAACCATAGGAGACTCTTAGCTATAGGAAACAAACTAAAGGTTGCTGGAGGGAAGATGGGTAGGGTGATGCACTGGGTGTTACATACAACTGACGAATCACTGAACTCTACCTCTGAAACTAATAATACACTATATGTTAATTGAATTTATATTAAAAAAGAAAAAAAAGGAAAAAAGATGAGAGAGAGAATGAATGTGCAAGTTGGTGGAGGGGCAGAACGAGAGAATCTTCAAGCAAACCACCCCCCTACCCCAGCACAGAACCCCAGGCAGGGCTCAATCTCACAACCCATGAGATCATGACCTGAGCTGAAACCAAGAGTCAGACACTTGACTGAGCCACCAAGGGACCCCAAACACATTCATTTTGTAAGTAAAGTTCAATGAGAGAACCTGGTAATTGACAGAACTTTTTCTTACAGAGTATATATATATATAATATATATATATGTATTCAATCTCTTCTTGCCTCAAATATTATCCATGCTTAGGAGCTGAGGATCAAAAATACAGTTTTCACTATTTATTCTCTTTTCTATCACTGTTAACGGCACCCCAATCCAAGATGTAAAGCCTCAGTCATCTTTGCCTTCTTTCCTATACTCAGCTCCTGTCCAGTAGCATATTCTAGCATATCTTTCTTCATAAAACATCCCTCTTTCTTTTCAAAATGCCACCCTAAGTCAGACCTAATAAGGCTTGTGGCTCAAATCATGCAATGGACTCCTAATTGGTTTCCCCAAACTCTACACCACTGCCAGATTAATTTTCTTATTTTCGTTATGTCAGTTCCTTATCAAAAATGATAATCACCCCCAAAGTATCAAGCCTAACTACTGATTATTCTTGATTTTGAAATCCTCTATAATGTGATCCCTCACTAATGTCCAATTTATTTGCCCCCACAGTCCCCAGAATCCTCACTCCTCTCAGGCTAGTTTAGGCATTTCCTCTAACGGTATCAGTGGAAAGATCTAAGTTCAAAGCTGGGTAACAGGAAGAAAACAGGGAAGTGTCATCTTAGAGAAATCAGTTCTCTCTGGGGCCCAATGCTCTTATTACTAAAATGGGGACACTATCATCCTGTCATGAGGTTTTTCCAAAATTAAACAAAATAACATGTTGACCATCTATTATACTGCCTGGCCCTTGAAGGGAGAACGAAATTGTCAGTTTATTATTCTACTCTATATTCTTTCCTGCCTCTGTGTGTACTCCTTGAAATGTCCTCACCTCTCTACTTCGCCTTCTACAAAATTCAGCTCATGTCTTATCTCTTTCTTGACGCCTACCCTAATCTACTCTAGGTAGATAGGGCATACACACCCTCTCAAACCCACCTGAACACAAAACACTCATCAATACTCACTTACTGTCCTACACTGTTCTTTAGCACTTCCCACGCCCTTGTTTTCTCCGTTCAGTTTTTCATGCTATCCCTTGTTCCCCCAGCTAGCATATAAGCTCTTGGAAGAGCAGAGACTCTACCTTATACCTTTGGACTCCCACTCTCATGCATACAGGGTAAGGGCTCTATAACACCACATTACTGAGAGTACACAATAGTTTAGGTTATCAATGTAGGTAACTTTGAAATGTCAAGAATCCTCACATCATATCACCCAATTTTAAAAGTCAATTTTATGGGTCTGTTGCCTCCTCCGGTTAACAGATAACAGTGAATCTGTATTTCAGAAATCTGGATTCAAACCTTTGTCTCTGAGGCAATCTCCAGGGTGGCAGTCAACCTTTGCACTTCTTCTTGTGCCTTGTCTTCTTCCTCCTTTACATCTCTTAGTTGCTGGCGCAAATTCATCACTTCAAGATGCAACAGCTTCAGGTCCTTGGAATGCTCCTCCTGTATTGCATTCAGTCGATCCTTCAGAAAAGCTACCCAACAGCACAGGAGGGTCATGGAGCAGTTGAAAGAAGGTCAGGAAAGGAAAAGAATCATAAACTCATTAAGCACCCATATAGGACCAAATTTCTGATGATTCTCTTCTCTCTGTACCTGTTTTCTGTGGATTCAAATCCTTTTCGGTTTGCAGACGAAAGATGTTCATCTTCAAGGACTGGATGAGGCTTTCCAGATGGCACATTCGATTTACCAGAAACTCACAGTTCTTCCATAGAATATTTGGTTTTCCTGAACAAAACATTTCGTTCTGGATGGGACTAATGATATTCTGGTTCACAGGCTCTTCTAAACATTTTGGAGTCTCCAGTTGGCCTCTGGACAAAGATTCCAATTTAACAACATTATGCAATGCAATGTGTACTACGGTAATCCCAACCATCAGGTCATTTCTACCAAGAATAAAAATTAGATTCCTTAGTTAAGCATCTGTTAGTTCTCCAAATTTAAATATAGAGAGCACCATTAGGTAAAGAGAATGAGACTAATGTCAGATGGATAAAGACCACTGACTTTATAATGGTTTTTTCTTTTAATGTGAATTTTTTGTAAAGTTTTATGTGGTACATAAAACATGTTAAATGCTAAATCTATAATTATAAAGAATTAAAGTTAGCATGGAGTAAATATATTCACATATTTTTAGAAAATTTTTAAACAAGGTCATAATAAAAACATTCCTACTTTATTCTAACATACTCAGCATCTATACAAATTTAATCTCTAACTACTGAAGAATTATTCATTCTATGGGTGCTATAATACCAACTATAATAATTTTAGGTTTTCATGAGAGACACTAAAGAAATATATTGTAATCTTAAAGAAAATCACACCAGCAAATTTAATATTGGCTGCTTAAGCACCCAGATTCCACAGGCCATTAATAATCCAACTTTTAGTGGCAATACCTTCTTTAGCCAAGGGAAAAAAAAGGTGGGTTTTTTTTTTTTTTTTGAGTACCTCATTCTAAATTATGAAATTTCTTTAAAGATTTAAAACCTTTCTTTTAATTTACAATAAGTCTGGGGAAAGAAAATGAAGACCATATCAATGGCATGAATCAAGTTTAGATGTTCACCTTAACTAATATCAATTTTTGATTTAAAAAATACAAACTAAATTTTTTCTAATTATACAAAAATGCCATATTTGTTTTCAATCAAGTTTTGAAGGTGAACCGTTTGTGCACCTAATTAGCACATTTTTAAAATTTTATTTTAAAATTTTATTTTAAAATAAAATTTTATTTTATTTTATTTGAATTCAGTTAATTAACATATAGTGTATTATTAGTTTCAGAGGTAGAGTTCAGGGATTCAGTTACCTATAAGACCCAGTGCTCATTATATCACGGATTCTCCTTAATGCCTATCATCCAGTTACCCCAACCCTGACCCACCTCCTCACTTTAAATAAATATCTGTTCAGGGGAATAGTGGTAGTAGCTCTATTACAGGAGGACAACTCTATCTCGCAAATATTTTCTAATTAATGTTCAAATGGAAACTTTCTTCTCAATTCTTTTATAAATACCTATATTTCATCTGCCAAACCGCCTGTATTACGACTCCTAAGAATTCTTACAAAGATCTAGTTCATTTTCCATTTGTTACCTTTTTTCACCAAAGTCCAACATTATTAGGTCATCCCTCAGAGAACTGGTCTGTTCCTCAACTATTCTCATCCTTTCCTGAAGTACCGTGAATGTTTCAGAAGCTGTAGCATTGATGTGGGTTGGAGAGAGGACCGGTCTGGACACTGTAGTTTCCATATGCACCTGAGATTAAAGTCACAATATTGGTATAGTAGGTTCTATTATGGTTCAAAATAATCACTGTCCTTTCTTGTGGGAGAATTACACATCCCTGTTCTGTTGAGATCAGGAATAGCCATGTGTCTTGCTTTGGTCAATTTAAAGTGGGTGGAAACTTTAAGAGCCAACTTGTCATTCATCATCTTCTTCTTTCTCCCCTCCATGAGATGAGCAACAACCCAGATAGGGCTGGCTTAGTGTGCCAAGAATCCCACAGTGAAGAAGACATGAAGCAGAGCTATGGCTTGTCCATGACATCCAGTGTGAGTGGGCAATAAACTTATGTTGTTATAAGCCACTGAGATTGTTGAGTAGTTTTGTTATTTCATCATAATCTAGTCTATCTATCTGCTAATATTAGACACATACTAGGACCTATGACTTGGCTAAGGGAATTATTACTTCTTTCATTACTAGCCATCATCATTTTAACATATTATAACCAACCTTTCAGAAAAACGTTCTATACTTAGATTTCTGAGCACTTGTTATAAGATAAATTTACCAACTACATTGAAACGGTGATTTTAAAAAATAATTTGCAAACTTAACTTCATAGCCTAGCAAAGACTCTTCTATAGCTATGGACATAAAATTTCCAGACTTCTCTTCTAATATTTTGAAATATTAGTGACAGAATTAGGCAGAACTAGCATAGAAGCAGTCCCAACATATAGATGAATCATGGACTCAAAGTTCAATGACAAGGTCATTGGGGAAAGAAATTTTAAGGACATTTTCCTGCAACTCCAACCTGTATAGACATTTCTATACTAACCAGACTGTAAACCTTAACAATTACTATCAACAGTGCTCCCATGGAAATGTTCACAAAGATCCCACTTTGGATATTAGGAACACATCTTTTCTCCCTCCCCCCTTGCTGTGTAATCAGAATCTCTCTTCCCCTCGCCTCCCAGGCAGTGGAAGTGGTGACTACCTCAGGTCCAAGTAATTGATAGTCTCCATCACTCAAGGCAAGAATTAAAGAAGTGGGAACACTGGTGGCAGGATTTAAGGGGGTAAGAAGCATGATGGGGGGCAGTGAAAAGACTGAGTTTCTTGCCAATATCAAGAACATTTCTTTACCTTTTTTTAAGATTTACTTATTTCTTTGACAGAGACAGACACAGCGAGAGAGGCAACAACAAGCAGGCGGCCCGCCAAGCAGGGAACCCAATGCGGGGCTCAATCCCAGGACCCTGGGACCATGACCTGAGCCAAAGGCAGATGCTTAACGACTGAGCCACCCAGGCGCCCCGAACATTTCTTCATCTTGAAATAGCTCTCCAATCACCTTTTATCTCCCCATTCCCAGAGAATGGTCTAGTCTTTTTTTTTTTTTTTTTAACTTTACTGAGGAGTAATTGATTATAATTTTATTTAAAGTGTACAATGTGATGATTTGATATACATATACACTGTAGAATGGTTACCAAGATCAAGATAATTAACACATTCATCACCCCACATAGATAACATAGTTAACTTTGTGTGTGTTGTGTGTGTGATCTACTCTCACAACTTTCAACTATACAACATATTACTATGTTACCATGCTGTACATTAGATCCTCAGAACTTATTTGAAAAGGTAACCTACAGAATCGTAGTAAATAATTGCATACCACAGATTTGATAAGCAATTAATGTCCAAAATATATAAAGAACTCATATAACTCAATAGCAAAAATGCAAAGAAACTAATTAAAAAAAAAAATAAGCAGAGGATCTTAACATTTTCTCCAAAGACGACAAAGAGATGGCCAATAGATAAATTAAAAGGTGCTCAACATCACCAATCACCAGGGAAATGCAAATCAAAACCACAATGAAATATCACCTCACATGGCGCCTGGGTGGCTTAGTTGGTTGAGTGACTGCCTTTGGCTCAGGTCATGATCCTGGAGTCCCGGGATCGAGTCCTGCATCGGGCTTCCTGCTCAGCAGGGAGTCTGCTTCTCCCTCTGACCTTTCCCCCTCTCATGTGCTCTCTCTCTCTCTCATTCTCTCTCTCAAATAAATAAATAAAATCTTTAAAAAAAAAAAGAAATATCACCTCACACCTGTTAGGATAGCTATTATCAAAAAGATAGCAAATGTTGGTGAAGATGTGGAGAAAAGTGAACCCTCATACACTGTTGGTGGGAATATAAAATGGTACAGCCATTTATGGAAAACAGTATGGAAGTTCTTCAAAAAATTAAAAATATAACTATCATATGATCCAGCAATCCCACTCCTTTGTATATATACAAAGGAATCAAAGACAGGATTTTGAAGAAGTATCTGCTCACTCATGTTCAGTGCATCATTATTCACCATAGCCAATATAAACAACCTAAATGTCATTCACCAGATGAATGGATAAAAAGTGATTTATATATATATACATATATTATATATATATACATATATATATAATATATATAATAAAATATATTATTCAGCCATAAAAAGAAAGAAAATTCTGCCACTGACAACATTGATGAATCTAGAGGGCATTATGCTATGTGAGATGAACCACACAGAGCAAGAAAAATATTGTCTGATATCATTTATATGTGGAATTAAAAAAAAAGGTTGATTTCATAGAAACAGAATAGAATGAGGTGGAGGGAAGGGGAAATTGAATGATGTAGATCAAAAAGTACAAATTTTCTTTTTACTCTTATTTTAGTGCTTCTGACCAGGATTTCTCTCTTTTATTCTATGAAACAGAAAGCATTTCTGACCCATATAATTTGAATTTGTTAAAAGATTTTCTGTTAATGATCAGCTTAAGGACATGGGGGCAAAGAAGCTATTATTAATTTCCTTCCATGCTTTTAAAATTTCCTGAAGAGAAAGACAAAGGTATATATAGACAGTAACAGAGTCTTTGGATCTACAAAGATTTGAAGTAAGTTTCAACCATGTTTCTGAAAAAAAAGCCAGATTTGGAGACTCCTGCTCGTGTTACCACATGTACCAGCATAGTGTTCCTCAGGTAATAGAAGGAAGAACCTCCGTGAAACCAGGGTTAGGGTTGGGGGAACCACCAATAGTGTGGGTGGGGAGAAAATGGAAGGGTAACAACAGAGAAACACCACATGGATTTACCCTCCATTCCATTTTCTATCACCTGCTGTCTTGTTACTGCCACCTAGAAATAAAACAGGCTTGAAGTGGGGAGAAAATGTAAAGTGTTTAACAAGGTTTGGGGTAGACAGAGTTGACTCCTTTGTTCTCTCTATAAAAGAAGCTGAAGAGTTCATGTCCCCAGCCTCCCTTGCAGCTGGCACAGCCATGTGACACATTCTGGCCAATGAGACTTTAGGCAAAAAGTCTGCAAGGAGCTTCTGAGAAGGCTTTTGTTTTTCTGATAGAAAATACTGAAATGATGGCGCTGGTCTTTACTTCCCCGCATGAGGCCCAGAGCTCTGAGAGTTCTCTTTTAGTCAGCCATGCAGTGCACTTTTAGATACAGAGAGCCAGGGATCACCACCATCTGAGAAATACAAGGAAAAGGCCAGAGAAGTTCAGATTAACCTGACTTTTTTTGGGGGGGGCCCAAAACTAGCAACATCCAACCTCTGCTTATTTGAGAAAAATAAGCTTTTGCCTTTTGTGTTAGTCATGTTTTTCTGTTGCTTGCAGCAAAAACATTCCTGAAACACAGTAACCCCAGGCAATAGTTGGTGGAAAAACAAGTAGAAGGGTTGGTAAAAGAAAGGACAAATACTACCGGAGATGTGAGGGAGGACAATTTCCCTGGCAACTTGTTAGGCTGATTATAATATAAAGGATGGCCTCTATTAATTTATATCAAAAGCCAAGCATAAAATACTAATACAAACATTAGTCCATTTGGGGGAAAAAAATACAGAAAATGGAATACAAGTTTCCCACATATTTTGAATGGGATACAGATTCCCATCTAAAATTTTTTCATGTAGGGGCGCCTGGGTGGCTCAGTCGTTAAGCATCTGCCTTCAGCTCAGGTCGTGATCCCAGGGTCCTGGGATCCAGCCCCGCAGTGGGGCTCCCTGCTCAGCGGGAAGCCTGCTTCTCCCTCTCCCACTCCCCCTGCTTTTGTTCCCTTTCTCGCTGTGTCTGTCTCTGTCAAATAATAAATAAAATAAAATTTTTTCATGTATTGTTGAAATGTCACAGTTTTGCTGATATTTTCCTAAGGTACCTATGATATGTATAAGGTGCTCACACTTACTTTACAGTATTGTGTGCACTTTTGGCCATAAAAGCAAAATTTAAAACCAATTACATTCTTTTTTTTTTTTTAAAGAGAAAGTTTATATTTGTTTAAGAATTTGATTCCCATCATCACTCATGCCTACCTGAACCTGATCTACACTGGAGCCACTTCAGGTTTCTGGAAAGAAAATTCACCCTAAGGAAGGGAAGAGTGAGATGCTTGGGACAGACTGATGTTGGGCAGGGGATAAAGCTTCTAAGTGAACATGGCGGTGTTCTTGAAATATCCTCTCAGTGAATCACTGATGAATATGTGCAAATCATCCAAGAAGTTGATTGGAAAACTAAACAAGCCAATCTACCCTTTGGAGATTAAAAACAGGTCCCAGGATTAACTGAAAACCATCCCTCCACCAAACCTCCCCTGCAATGGGAAAAAAAAGAAAAAGAAAAAAGGTCAAGGTCAAGGTCAGGAGACCGGAGGAAGCAAGGAAGGAAGCAATGGTAGATGAATAGCAAGACTAAGACAGCCTTAATATCCACCAGGGAGAGTCCTGGAATACTTGGGAGCCTGTTAAAGGAAGAGTGAGGTAAGTACCTGGGATCCAGTAAATCTGCTGAGTCGGGATTCTCATTTTCACTGCAGTATACCCTTGCCTGTCCTCCCTCATCTGGCAGGCCCCACACACAGTCCACTGGCCACGTGGCATATCCTCAGAAGCCATAGCTCAAAAGATCGTAGTCTAAGAAGTACAATCTTACAAGAAAAGAATCTAGCTCTAATTGCTAATATTGCAGCAAAGAGGCTATGGCTTGTCTTATGTGTGCTTTGCAGTTTTTGAAAAGATGCAAATATCATTGAATGTAGTCTTGAACCCAAGGCCTGATGCTTGATCGTAACAATAATAAAAATACTAAGATATAAAATTTTAGTTTTAAAAAAGTGCATTCATAACTACTTTCATAAATGTATCATCAAATTAATACAATTCTGTTTCTGCATTTAGGGAGAGTATTTCTATAGAGCTCCTACGTAGGTTACCTCACTGAAAGGATGGTATGAATAAGACCAATGTCTTAAGTAATAATACTAGTAAAAGTCAGGTGACTGAATAGTCCAGAAAGAATAAACAGTGAGTAGAAAGATCAGTGAATACAAAGATCCTTACAAACAGTAAGGAGGTCAGTCTGGCTGGAGAGGAGTAAGTGAAGGAGAGAACTATAGAAGGTGAGGTCAGAAGGTAATAAAGGGACCAGATCACATTAGGTCTTAAAAGCTATTATAAAGTTTTGGCTTTTACTCTCAGTGACTCTCAGAATCATTGGACTGTGTAGAGCGGAGGAGTGCTGGGATGTAACTTTACCTTTTAACTGGATCACTCTGGATACCCTCCCAGGAGGGTAGGTCGACAACCACAGAGGTAGAAAGACCAGTTGGGAAGTTGCTACAATAATCCAGGCAGGAGGTGCCACTGGCTAGGGCCGGGTGATAGCAAAATAGTAAGAAGTGGTCAGAGTCCAAATGCGTTTTAAAGATTTGGCTTTGCTGATGGATTAGATATGAAATATGAGAACAAGGAAATAATTGGAAGGATGGTGTTGCCATTAATTGAGACAATGGAAGCCTGTCAGGAGAATTAGTTCTAGCGGAAAGATTGAGTTGTTTTGGAAATGTTAAATTTAAAACAGAAAAGATGACCAATACAAGACTGAACTTGTTAATTCGGAGTTCAGGGAAGAAGTGTGGACTGGCGGTATAAATTTTGGAGTTGTCAACGCACATGCCACTTGTAAAGCCACAAGACTGTCTCACGGAGAACAGAAAGGATTCAGGGAACTGAGTGTCCCTGGGTGCTCCACTATTAACAAGTTGGGTACATGAGGAGTGTGTGGGTGTTCGAGCTAGACTGAGTTCTCCGAAGTACGGCCAGGTTAATCTCTCCCTATTTTCAGAGCCTAGCACAGTGAATGGGGCACTGTGGCTCGCAAACAAAAGGAAAACTCAACAAAAATTTAACGAACATCTATTCTGTTCTAGCACAAGTGTCAGGTACTGGGAAAACTTCAAAGGACGAATGCATTCTAAAAAGCAGATCGGGGAATATAACTGGTGACAAAAATTAAAACAAAACAAAACAAAACCAACCAACGCGTCGAAATGTCTTTCCTAAGAACCTATAACCTCCAACCTAACATATAAAGAAAAGGTGGTATTGGGGCTTAAATGAAGGCCTTCCCTGGTGGCTATCCTCCGTCCCTCAGCTGCAGCCAGTCCAACGCAAACTTAGCTCCTAAACGGTTTTCACCTGCGTCCAGCGCAGAAGCGCCATAAATCAGGATCCTGGGGTGGGGACAGCGAGACTAAGCACCGCCAAGAGAAAGAGAGGGCGGCAGGAGGAGATCATGGTGGTTTTGGCTGAGTCGCCAACTTCCCCCGCAGGACCGGCACCCCGTCCACCGCCGGTAGCCTTACCTCACACTCCATCTGTCCGCGGGTAGCTCTACCCCTCAGCAGGCAGGCCGGTTTCCATGGAACTAACACAGCGCTTTAAACCAACCCGCTCCGGCGCGGTAGCTCCTGTACGCAGGCACATCCGTGGCAGCGCATGCCGGGAATTGCAGTTTTCCCGGCCCAGGAGGGCCCTCCGCCCGGGGCGGCACCCAGGCCGGAATCCGGCGGCGCGCACGGAACGCGCAACCCCGTGACCCGGATGACGACAGGGCTCCATTGTGCTCATGAGCGAGGCATGGCGGGATATGTAGTTTCCTCCCGCTCGCCTCCCAGATGGTCTTGTCCGCTTTGCGGTTACAGGTCTCACCTGGGTGGACGTGTGGCGTTTGGGGAATTTGGCAAACAAACCCCGCAACGGGAGAGAGTCCATGATTAGAAAATGTTTTTAGTTTTAGGAGGACTAAAGTATCAGGTAACTTTTGAACGATAGGAAAATAACAGATTTCATTAATGAGCATAAGAAATGGTAAAAATACAAAGTTCAAACATTCTTTTCTTTGAAGGAAAAGCCAAGAGCCTCTTCATCCTCATCCATGATGGCCAGGCGGAGAGTAAAACACATGTTTTCTGCTCTCTTGTCTTTTGTCTCATCAGCATAATATATTTCTTGCCTTCTCGACAGGGAAGTGAATAGGTATTTCTAAATATGCCTGCAAATAGCTAAGAAACAAGAAAGCATTGAAAATAATAGTGCAGTCGTTTCAGAGTTGTTTTGCTCTAAGAGTGGGAATTCACACTTAAAGACGAGAAGCCTTCTGCAGTGAAAAGACAAAACGGCTTTGCATTTAGGTAGCTGAAGAGAACACCTGTTACCACCATCAGGGCGATTAATGCGTTTCTCTCCTTTCCTTGGGGGCACAGCTGAGAATAACTTTAGCCCTCAGATGAATGGAGTCAGATTCGAGATGAGTCCTCATTTGCTAAGCAAGTGATTGAAATGATCTGGCTGTTCTGATTCTTCTGCTAGCCAATCCTCCACACGAGATAGTGTCTATCAAGCCACAGCTGTAAGATGTATTCATTAAACTGTAAGCCCATCTGGTGAAAGAGAAATGAGTGCTGCCTACGTTATTCAGGTGAAGGGACCAAATAAAGCTTTTAATAGGAAAAGTGGGAGAGTACTTTAGAGCGTCAACACGAACAGCCAATTATTCTCTCAGTATGTACACTTTCTCTTTCAATGATCTCCGATTTATCTGTGGAGATGAGAGATATGTGTTTGCTCTCCACAGATACCCACACACTTCAATGTAATGAGCATTTCACCTTCCTGAATCTCCATTTTAAGCAGCAGTCAGGGAGCCAAATTGATTAAATTTACTGTTTTTCATTTCCTTTTGTCTTTCGACCACCTGGCAAACCGTATAAGAACTTAAATCAAGCAATTACAAAGTTAGAAAAAAGAATCTGAATTCTTCGATAAACTAATTCATCTGCTAGAGAATCAGTCCTGGATACCTGAGAATTCATTACGTAAACGGTCTGTTTTTATTTTTTAAGTGCGTAAACATGTTGATTTTTTTTCTGATTTCACTCTTAATTTTCGATTGATAAATGGTTTTTATACTCCTTGACCCATGATAAAGTCTTTTTAGTCATGGAAATCTCAAGATTCCATGAAAACCATCTCCTCTCTCACTAGAATACCACAGTAGCCTTCTAATTGGTTTTCTGATCACCCTTCCCAATGCAGCTACTAAATGATACAGCTACTAAAGCTACTAAAATTATCTTAAAAAGTACAGATGACCTGTCAACAACATGGTGGTTAAAGGCACTGACACCCCCTGCATTCAAAAATTCATGTATAACTTTTGACGCCCCAGAAACCTTAATACTCTACTGTTGAAGACTCACTGATAATGCAGAGTTGATTAACACATATTTTCTGTTTTTACAATAAAGTATGCTAGAGAAAAAATGTTAAGAAAATCATAAGGAAGAGAAAATACATTTACAGTATTGTATTTATTTTTTAAAAATCCACATATAAGTGGACCCATGCAATTCAAACCCATGTTGTTCAAGTCAACTGTAAATCCAATCATTTCAGTCCCTTGCTTAAAAACATTTAATAGTTCTCCCTTTGAGGGGGGTAGGGGGATGGGTTAGCCTGGTGATGGGTATTAAAGAGGGCACATACTAAATGGAGCACTGGGTGTTACATGCAAACAATGAATCATGGAACACTACCTCAAAAACTAATTATGTAATGTATGGTGATTAACATAACATAATAAAATAAAATAAAATAATAAAAAATTTAAAAAACAAAAAAATACAATCTAGTTGGGAAATGTAAAAAAAAATATAGTTCTCCCTTTGAACTAGTAGTTTTCCACTGAACAGGATGAAACCGAAACTGCTTATAATTTCAGCTTAATCTACCAGCCAGTCTGCACCTAGTAGCCCAAAGGAACTGTGAATTCAAGCCTACCAGCATGTCTGTGCCTGCAGGTTCTGCATCCTCTGCCAGGCACGCCCTTTCTCTTGTCTGTCTGGTGAACCTAACAGAAATTTAACCTCTTCAGTGATGCCATTCTATTACCTCCCAAAGTACTTACTGCACTGCATTATAATTGTCAGTGTGTCTTATCGCCCCTTAATTAGGCTGTAAGTAACTTGAGGACAAGAGTTTTGTTCTTATTTTGAGCTTATTGTTTTCAACACCAAGCACAGTGCCTGGCACACAATAGAAGCTTGGTTAAGTCCTCCTTGTTAAGTGAGTGAATTAATGAATAAATAAATTTTGAAATCTTCTGACAGAGGCTATTTCTCACTCTCTTGACTATTTATATACACATTCTATTTGTAGGCCAAAAAAATAAAAAAGGCATCTGCTTTCTTCCAGACCTGGCAATGATTTGCCATTGCAATTACAAAAGTGATAGCAAAGTTACCTGCAACCACTTCCCCTTGGAGTTGGAAATGTGTTCTGTGGATAGAGAAATGCAAACACAAAAACTCAAAGTTTTCTTATCTTGTTGGTACAATGGAGAAATAAAAATGGCAAGTTCACTAACTGGTCCAACAACTTTTGTAGGCAGTCCAGACCTTTTGGTAAAGTATTGGCTCTCGGTATAGAGATTAAAATTTGGAGGAGTCTCAGACTTTTTAATGAACTGGTGCTTTGGCCCAGGGCTGGGAAGATAAATCTGTTATTTGAATCAGCTGAGAGTAACAACACTTCTTATAAGGTCTCTGTCACTTAGTTTTACCAACTAAATTTTGTGGCCAAGTAGATTTTTCACATTGTTCTATTGACCGAATTTAAGAACAATCAAGGACATGGTGATATTGCTACAGCTCTATTTTATGTTTCCTAAGATTACTCTTTTTGTCTTGATAGGTTGATACATAATCAGCAAGAGGAAGAAACATGAGTGTTCTTCTAGAGGGTATTATGCTAAGCAAAATAAGTCAATCAGAGAAAGACAAGTATGATATGATCTCACTGATATGAGGAATTTGAGAAACAAGACAGAGGATCATAGGGGAAGGGAGGAAAAATGAAACAAGACAAAACCAGAGAGGGAGACAAACCATAAGAGACTCTTAATCTCAGGAAACAAACTGAGGGTTGCTGGAGTGGAGTGGGGTGGGAGGGATGGGGTGGCTGGGTGATGGACACTGGGGAGGGTATGTACAATGGTGAGCTCTGTGAATTGTGTACGACTGATGAATCACAGGGGCGCCTGGGTGGCTCAGTCGTTAAGTGTCTGCCTTCAGCTCAGGTCATGATCCCAGAGTCCTGGGATCGAGCCCCGCATCGGGCTCCCTGCTCAGCCAGAAGCCTGCTTCTCCCTCTCCCACTCCTCCTGCTCGTGTTCCCTCTCTCACTGTGTCTCTGTCAAATAAAAAAATAAGAAACATGAGTGTTCTTTAAATTGGCTCACACAGATCAACTGCCTGATATTTATGAAGTTTTCTGATTGAATAATAGCAATAACAATGTGTATCATCTGATGAATTGGTGCTTTATATATACCATTTCACATGATCCTCCCATATGAGGCAGCTGAGATTTGGGAAGTTAAGTAACTTGCCTGGGGCTCTGCAGCCAGTAAGCGACAGAATGGTTATCTGGACTAAGCTCTATGTGGTTTCAAAGTCCTGCTCTTCAGTTTGATTCCATCTCCTACCAATTCTTCACTCCATTTTGACAACAGTCAAGACAGAAATTTCAGCATTTAAGTATGAGATGAGAAATATATGTGAGTTGGTGTGCCTGGGTGGCTCAGTTAGTTAAGTGGTCTGACTCTTGATCTTGGTCTTGATCTCAGGGTGTTGATCTCAGAGGCCCCCATTCGGCTCCATGCTGGACATGGAACTCACTTAAAAAAATACATGTACATTAACTCCACACAATGGGATACCATACATTTATGAAAGAAAATGAGGAAATATAGGTGGTAGCATGTGGGTGTTTGTGCCAGGCCATACCAATTTTCTGTATGTCTTAAAATTTTTTCATAATACAAAATATGAAAAGAAAATGAGGCAAGTCTGTGTATGTATATGGAAAGTTTTTAGATTTTATTTTAAATGAAAAAAGCAAGGTGTGTGGAAATAGGAGAGATAAGAATTTTGTATTTGTATGAATAATCACTGAAAGGATATCCAAGAAACCAATAAAATAATATCTTTTTTTACCTCTGCAGGTAGGGTAGCCATATAATTTTCCATCTTATCTAATTCTTACAAACTTTGTATTATGAAATAATTTTAGATTTACAGGAGAGCTGCAAAACAGCACAGAGAATTCCTGTATACCCTTTATCCAGCTTCCTTTAATGTTAACATCTTGCATAATCACGATACAATGATCAAAACAAAGAAATTAATACTGGTATGATACAATTAACTAAATGACAAATTTCATTTGGATTTCATCAGTTTGCCCAGTCATGTCCTTTTTCTGTTCCAAGATATAATTCAAGATTTTACATTGCTTTTACTTGTCCTGACTCCTTCCCCAGTCTTTGTCTTTCATGATCTTGGGATTTTTTTTTTTAAAGATTTTATTTATTTGAGAGAGAGAGAGAGATAACATGAGGGGGGGAGGGTCAGAGGGAGAAGCAGACTCCCTGCTGAGCAGGGAGCCCAATGCGGGACTCGATCCTGGGACTCCAGGATCATGACCTGAGCCG